CCATTGACCACAACCTTTTGGGTGCGGCCATCCAGCCACATTGTGTCCCAATGGGAGAACCAGCGACATCTCAGAACGTCCAGAGACCAAAAATACAGGGGCTGCCAAATTCCAGGAGCAGGAAATAACTCTTACGTGTGGTTAGACAGACGTGTGTCAGCTTGTATGTGTGTTCTGTGCCCTTTTGCATGCTCTAGGTTATATAATTTTTTTTTTTTTTTTTTTTTTTTTTTTTTTTTTTTGCGTAGAAAAACTGTCATAGAATTAAATGGTAATGGTAGCTCTGTACGAGTTAAATCCTCATGCATCACCCATGGTCAGCATGAGGACATCTTTGGTAGATTCCATGTGGAGACTTATAATAAGACAAGAGACTGAGATGTAAGAAGAGTGCCACTGACTTGAAGAATGCAACACTTAGAGGTCTGGAGAAGATCTGGGCTCTCCTGTATGCTGCAGCTTTCCTCAGCTGCAGGAGAGAGTGGCAAAACTGTAAAAATACCACTTGCCTATAAGCATTACCATACTGTAAATTACAATTGGCTGCTGCCAGATTTCTGTTGGTTTTATGATATGTGCCATAGAATCTGGCAAAATATGAGAATCATTGGGGTGTGCTACGAGCTCTGAGTCATAACTCCGTGCTGCCCTGAGGATCTTTCTGCCTTTCTTATATAATCCAATGTTTGTTTACTCTCATTGCTTTGGAGATAATACTGCAACACACAGGAACATCAACCCACAGGGAGTGCTGTTCCAGCAAGGTGAGTTCAATGGGTTACTGCACAGCATGTGCTACTGAGGTAGTTCAGACCTAGTTCAGTGGGTGAACTGCATGATGAACACACATCTGGCATCTGGCTGGCTCACACTGACATTCAAGTGAGACCCTATCCAGACTCCTCAAATTTTCCCACAGAAAAGACTATCCATGGAAATCCTCCTAGCATCCAGGTGTCTTGAAAGGTGGAGAGTTGAATGCTAGAGCATGCAGGGAAGCTCTTCCATGAGCACATGGGATTTATACTTGTGTTGACTAGAGGTGACTACAGAACAAACAGAGATGAAGAGAGGCAGAAAGTGTCACTTGGCAACCCATGGAAGGACCCAGCTCAGCAAGGTCCTGAAAGAGAAGAAAAACTTTAAGGATGGCCCATACCAGACTCAGTGAAGCTGCTCATAAGCAGATCTATGCCAGCAAATAAAACAATAGGCAGGATAAGACTGGTCTGATGCTAAGCCTTTTCAGCATCCTATTGCGTGTCTCGCCATCATCCTGTTTCACTTATTCTGTATCATCTGTTTATTCATCCTCCCCAACAGCTCCTACTTGCTGGGACACTTCTGCAGAAATCTTGCCTCATTGGTCCGTCTTTCATCCTGCTTCCTGTATGGCCTTCTTTTGAGGCTGTAAATAGTGCCCTTAGCATGAACACCATCACCAAGATGACGGCATCCTCCAGTTCTGTATACTGGAGCTCTGGAGGAGCTCTGTAGATGTCCATGTATGCATCATGATACGGATTAACCTCTACTTGCACCCATGGGTCTCCTGCATAGGACAGCATGACTGCTTTGGACAGCATGAAACAACCAATGGGATAGTCCAGCATGGTTACCTTTTGTAAATAAAGGACAGTTCCTTTAAGCACAGCGTAAAATTTCTTCCAACCTCTTCTTCCTCTGGGAGCTAAAAAGGGAAGAACATTTAATTATACATGTCTACGTCTGCCAGTGCTGCTTTACCTTCACATTTCTGGTGAAACCAACCCTTCTCCTGACCCACCACAGTCATGCACTGATGCCCAGACCTCATGCACCTCAACTCTATTGCTCATGAGTGGCTTGTCTGCAGGGGTGTGTTTGAGAGAGATGGGTTGGGAGATGCAGCATCCCAGCAGGAACACAAGCAGGTCAAAAGCAGAGATGAGCTAGTATAGGGGTACCAGTGGACATGTGCAGGAAGTCTCTGCTTTTCCAAAGCCAGGTTCATGTTACTTAGACTAAATGCTTGAGAAGCAGGGACATTCCCTGACCTCTTCTGCTTCAGATAAGTTAGGCAGACATATCCTGGACAAAGTAGTTTCTGTTCCACTGAGAAGGGAACATTACAGCCAGCCATCTTGATGGACTTGGGAACAGAGAACTTGCTGGAAGCTGGAGAAGGGTGGGAGGTGAGGGAGCCATCTACTTCACCACAAGACAGCTGATCCTCCAGGCATGGGCTATTATGAAAGTGCTGGAAGGAGGGAGACCTTTGGTGGTAATCTCTACTCAAGACTTCTAATCTGCTGCAGTGACTGGGCCAGTTATATCAATTAGCAAAAAGGGTTATCCAAGGTTTCATTAATCTCTGCTCATTAATAGTTCCCAAATATATTTTCCTGTACCTTTCCTGTAATCCCACACACTGACAGCAAAGCTATGAGGCATCTTGTAGCCCAGCCATCACACTGCACCTGCTTGCAGCACACAGACAGGAACAAAGCTTCGAAGACCAGACTGTCCCCACAGTCAGGGCTGGGGTGAACAAGTGCTGTGGAACCAGCCTCATCCCATTGCTCAGAGTGTGGGATTCAGGTTTATGCCCATGAACAGGATGGAAGACCAGGTCTATCTGTGTGGGACAGGCACTGCTAGATTCCTTGGCAGTAAGAAGGGAAGACTGAGGGCTCTTGAAAACATTCATGTCTACAAATGCCTCAAAACACACTCCTTTCCCTGTTCCCTGGCATTCATGGATCTGGGGATCTCTCTTGTGTTCCCTGGGACATGGTAAGGACATGCCTTCAGCAGGAAAGGAAGGGAGAAGGCTAGGGCAAGGCTCTGGTACTGCCTGGGGCACATCTCTTCCTGTCCCATTGACACATACTTCTCTTCCCGTCCATGTCTGCATGGGTTTTACGCGTGAGGACACCGTGCTTGTAGGTGACTGCATTCAGTGCCTGGGGGATGTCCAGGAAGGGGTTGCTGCTGTCAACAATCCTTGTCACTTTCTTCGCACTGGCTCCAAATTTGTCATCTACCAGCTCCGAGAGTGATTTCCTCAACTCGTCCTCATCACTTGGAAACAAAGTCAGAGAAGAGATTGAGTGGAGGACACGTGGGCTGGGCCACAGTGTGCCCTATCTTCTTTGGTTTCAAAGAGAGTTATTTATTACAAGACTAGTCAGAGAAATAAAATGAAAGGAGATGGAGGGACTGTAACATGCAGTGTGCTAATGGTGGTGATCTGGACATATCTTGCGCGGGTGGCAAGTAACTGACCCAGTGGTCCCACTGGGAGGTTACTCAAAACAGTTAAGGGAATGAGTGCTTATCTGAACACCAGGAAACTACAGACACACCTTTGCTGAAGACTACAAGCATTTCACAGGGACAGTCTCCAATTCTTTGCCCTAAAACCAGAGCTTAAGGAGGTCTTTTGCTGAAAACCAGATATCACTGGGGTTTCTCGACCTCTGAGAGGTAGCTTCTGGGGCCTCCTAAGTACTGAAGGAGCTAGAGGAATGTCCTTTGCATCTCAGGGGAACAAAAGCTCTACAGACATTAGGGAGATGGGCCACTTGATCAAAACCCCACAAACTCTGAAATATATTACATATCAGCTCCCCATTTGTGTCCTCAGGGTGGGCCATCAGAGTGCAAGAAATGCTGGTCATTGCCATAAAAACTGCTTCTTCTCACAGATCTCCTGGTCCTGGACCCTGGACAGCAAGGGCTGAGCACCCTAGGGAAGTGTCCACTGACTCCGCCAAGCCTGCCTCTTCCTGTTTGGAATAAAACCTACTCTGGCGCATAGAAATCAGAACCTATATGGGAACTGGTATTTCCCAGTGTCCCTGTGATATTAAGGAGGGATAGCAAACAAGGAATTTCTGTCTGGTGTGATACATGTCAATGTCTAAATGGTATGGGTGGTCACCTTAGGTTGCAGATTAGATTGGGACCAAACCTTAGCTAAGGAATGACACAGGGCTGAATCTACTAGCTGGGATGTGAGCAGTAAAATACCACACTTTCCCACCTGCAGCAAGTAGATGGCCAAAGCATCAGACGCCTCTTGGAAGAGAAGGATGATTTCTCAGTCCTCAGCAGCCACAGGAGTCCTGGGGCTTAAGCAGAGCCCAGACACTGTGCCTGGGTAAGGAGCTAGTGAGGCCCAGTTCTCTCAGCTGCACCAGAGGGAACCCTCTGAGCTTCTGCTTGCTGCTGGGATGATGGTTGTATACCTGCCTGTCTGATTGGGTTTTGTGAGCAAGGGTATTTCACTCCCTGGGATGGACAAGACCAGAAGTCAGAGGTGAGCAGGGAGAAGAGCGTCTTGCCTGTGAAAGGCTATCACTCAGTGACATGTCTCTGAAACAAAATCAGGTACCCCACGTCAGGGAGTATCTGTCCCACAGCTCAGGAGCCAAGAGGTCTGCTGTGTTGCAGCATGTCCATCTGCGATAAAGCAGACACCCTGCAGCAAGGCAGGTCGCAGGCCAGTGTGGGGGTGCAAAGGTAGAAGTGGGGTGGGTGAAGGAGGGCAGGAGGGGGGCTAGATGCTGCTGACTGGAACTGCACCGCTGCGGTGGGACCCTGGGGGCTGGCATCTCTCGGACACGCCTGAGCCAGGGAGCATGTTCTGGCAGGCATTGTGTAACCGCTGCCTGCATCCCGCCAGCAGACGCACTTCTGCTGAACTCCCCTTACATAAACCGTCCCACGGCACCTTCTGACGAGCCACAGAGCTCCCTCTCCTGACTACGGCCACCCACGACCCGGCCTCTGCTGCAGACCTGGCATTGATGCTTTCCTCTCACACAGGTGCCGTGCAAGATTATTTAAAAAGTGAAATCGATGCTAGGTGACTCACTAAGAAGCCACTGCCCTTCCAGGGCCACTGGCTGGCTGTGTCCCTCCCGAAGGAGACACTGACCCACAGCAAGCAGTGCTGCCATCAGACCATGGCTGGCAATGGAGGCTCCTGCTCTGCAAAGCTTGACCCAGACAGTTGGGGAGGGAGGGAGGATGAAATGCTCTCCATACACTTTTCTGGCCAGGACAATATGAGAAGGAAGTGCAGATGATGGAATTAATGGCCCAGAAGGCCCTGCTTAGTCCTATGACCCTCTGGAGAAAAGAGAGGTCTGAGAGCAGGGAAGGGAAAGGAGGGGAAGGGAAGGGATGAGAAATATCCACCGTGTCAGCTTAAGCCTCCAGGTCTCTCACGGGCTTCCCCATGGCAGTGGTGGTGAGGTGTTGGGGCTGGGGAGCACAGCACAGCCCTCACTGAGGGTCCTGGCCTGTGCTCTGGGCAGGGGGTGGGTAGCAGAGCAAGGGAAGAGGGACTGAGGAAGGTGCTGTGTGAACCTGTAATGGAGGCCACCATGCTAGCTGTTTCAGGGTAAAAAAAGATGATCTGGAGGAGGAGACAGAGCACATCTCATCAAGTTTGTGGATGACACAAAAATGAGAGGTACAGGACCACCACTCACGAGGGACAGGAGCCTCACTAAATGCAGAATCCAAATACTGCACTGGGCTGGAGTGATCCTGCAGAAGGGTGGTCTGGGGCTGACTGGCTGGGAAGCAGCTCTGCAGTAAAGGCCCTGGGGCTTCTGGAGAACAGCAGGATGAACAGGAGCCAGCCAGTGTGTCCTGGCAGAAACAGAGGCCAAGAGCATTCTGGGCTGTGTAACAGCGGCACAGTGAGGAGGCTGAGAGAAGTGATCATTCTCCTCTGCACTCATTACATCGTATCTTGATACAGGAAAGAGTATTGGGCCCCCAGGACAGGAAAGGGCATCAACAAGGTGGAGAGAGCTCAGCAGAGGCCACCAAGATGCCTAGGGGCAGAAGCACTTGCAATTTAAGTGACTAAGGGAGCTGGACTTGTTCAGTCTAGAGAAGAGATGGTTTTGGGGCACCTTATGTGAGCCTTCGAATATGTGTGAGGAGGTTATAGAGGGGACGAAGCCAGGCTCTTCACTATGGTGCACGGCAGGAGGACAAGAGCCAGTGGGCATAAACCAAAACAACAGTGATTATGAGTAAGAAGAAAAGCTCACTCTCAGAATAATTAAGCATTGGTTCATGCCCACAGAGGGGCTGTGGGATCACTGTACTTGGAGGTTTTCAGGATCAAACAAAATACTGAGCATCCTGATCTGAATTCAGTGTTGACCATAATTTGAGGAGGAGCTGCTTTCTGCCCGAGTGATTCTCTGATACTATTTCCAGAAGAACCAATGTGGAAGAGGTGGAAAATCTCAGTGACCAAAATAACCCCAGATCTTGAGCTACTTGTGCAAAGACCTCTGAAGCACCTGGAGAGGGACCAGTATTTTATAGGTGTAATAGTAAACAGAGAGGGCATTCCTTTCCTTTAGATCATGTCTGTGGACCAACCTCCCTGTCTGTTTTTGTGTCTAAGCTATAAATAAACCCAGCTTGCCTGCAGGAGGGACTTGAGTGCTTTTATGGACTTGGCAGGAAATGTTCTGGGAGCTTCTGGGGCTAAAGACATGATTCAAGACCTGTCAGCTAATTTCAAAGACACACTATCTATCAAATGCTTAACATATACTTACATGGCCCACTCCAGCTTCTCATTCTTGATGGAGTTATATAGTGTCTGAAACAAGAACAAGGTATTAGCTGTGTCTCTAACGGAAGACGTCTGGATTATGGAGACTTTCTCCACACCCTGTCTGTGTTCTTGGAGAGACCCCTTCCTTGCTGAATTATCCTGGAGTAGCCACTAGTGAGCAGAACTGCTGTCCTGCTAGACCCCTTTTTGTCTATGTGCACCACTAGGTAAACCACTGGACACATCAGCAACAGAGGGGTCTCACAGCCAGCCTTCGTCAGGAGCCTGTCCATGGCATTTTTGACTAATTATGGGTGCTGTGCCTAGTCCTGAGTGAATCCTGGCCTACACAAAGATGGTATAAGAGTCCGGGGTATGCCAAGACACCTTCAGGGTCTCGACTACGAGAAAGGGACAGTGGAGGCTTGAATACTGCCCTGAGTGGCAGGGGAGGGACAGATGACCTTAGGAATCAGCTTGTCAAGTTCATCCTGTGCAAAATTTCAGTAGTTCCTTGGGGCACTGGGAAAGAAGCAAGAATGGGTTAGAAAATCAGAATGTGAAGGTGGCCCTGACCATACAGAGGGGTGGGGTAAGGTGAAGTTTGCTGGGAGGCAGGGGTGTTGTCTAAGGCATGATGTAACACCTCTGATGTGGCACTGGTCATTTCAGCCTCCTTCCATACAGCAAAATCAGGTTGCTGGACCGACAAGCCGGTGCAGACAGTAGTGGTGGTATTAAACCAAGTGGAAGGAGAAAATACTCACTTTGGGGTGTTTAACCAATATTGGTACTGAACTAGTTGTGTTGGAACACTACATCTAATTACATGGAAGTGAAGGCAGAGAAAAGTATTAGTGCCAGATGGTCATATTTGGAGGTGGGAGTACCTTGTTCAGTTCATTGTCTGGTGCATCACAGAGCTACCATGGGGGACCGGGCCCCTGGTATGCTCTGAGGGCAGATATGCCACAAATCTGGACAAAACATCACCAGGGAACAGTACCTCTGGTGGCTCACTACAAGTTAGCAGAAGCTATACCCATGTGGGTTACAATTCTTCTAATGAAACAATTGTGCACTGGAAAATGCTGATCCAAGGGCTCAGAGTGTCCCAGCAGGAGAAAGTGGTACTACAATAATGACAGTATCCCCCTGTCTATTTATAGCACATTACCTTCAGCAAATCCTTTGAAAAGTCCTTCCCATCATTCAGCCCATCCAGGTTTGCTATGAACTGTTGACATGACATCTTCTTGCCAATATTCTGTAAGGCAAAGAAGCAGCTCATTAAACTTCTGGAGAGTTTTGACTTTAATCAGTGTCTTTTAAAGAACAATTTAATATGTAGTGGTGAAGCCTGGGTTTGCATCAAGAGCTCAAAGCTGAAAGGTCTTCTGCTCTGATTTTCTATTAGGATCTTTGATTTATTTGCTCATGACAGCACCCAAAAGTTTCAAATGACCTCTTTCTTAATGTTGGAGACAAAACACCTAAAAATAACCTCCCCAGCTCTTCCTCCAAACTTTCTAAGTGATCTGGTCTCCAGGTTGGTACTAGTACAGGGTTTGTGTCTCAAAACTCAAGCCAAGCGCTCAGACTGCCTTGAAATTGCAAGGCTTGGATGGTTCTCCAAGCCTGCCGTGTGTGAAATTGTGTTAAGCATGCAGTGTCAGCATCTGAAGACAGCCAGCATTGGGCAATGACTCTTCCTTCACAAAAACTGTTATTTTTGATTGCCATTATGAAGAGAGATGATCCCACTACTGGTACTGTATGAACCTGAGTGCTGTGGCATGTGAGGGCAATACACTGGGAGAATCTTGCAACCTGGAACACATTCTTCACCAGTTAATGCCAAGGCTATTTGGTGCTGATGCTGCCAGGTCATCTGTCATCCCTGATATCAGTCTGTGGCATCTGTTTTCCCAAATCCTTTACCCGTCACCATAGCCAGGTGAGTCACTTTCTCAGCCTGCAAGTATCGAGGGTCTGGAGGCAGGCAGCCTTTTTCCAAGCCTCCCCTTGCAATCCTACTCTCCAAAGGTCTGGAACAGAGGTGTGGAGGAGTCAGGGGGACTTGTAGCATTCAGAAAAAGGAGTGTGATACCACAAAGACAAGATAGGTGTCTCCAGTGCCATGTCACATTGCAGCCTTCAACCCTGGAGTCAAGTCCACAAGGACAGACCCTGTGGTGACATTACATGGAGTGGACAATGGAGTTAGTGATAGGAGAGCATGAGCTGCCACCAGTGGTCCTAAGGATCCCAACAGCGACCTGACACTGGGATGGGCTTTGCATCAAGGTATTGACAGTGTAGCCATCCAGGAGGATTTGGGAGGATGGCCAAGAATAGCAGAGCCAGGAACATGATTAGGGATTTAGTGAGGAAGACGGGCTTCACTGGGTCCCTGGGGGGGGGGGGGGAGGCAGGGC